GTCTCAGGCTGCACACTCGGGGGTGGTGGCGGTGCCTTTCCAACCGCGGCAGCTGAACTCTGGGACAACTTTTGGCCCTCTTCGAGGTCGGGGGGGGGACTTCCGAGACACGAATCTTCAAATCTCGAATTTAAAACGTTATCTCTTTTCGCTCTCTTTAGTTATTTTCACACGTCTTTCTTACTTCTTCTTTCCTTGGTTGACGTTGAACTATTTTTCACCTTTCCATGGCATCGCGCCCTGAGAACGACCGTTTAAGGGAAGGATTTATACATTTCAATGTATTATTATCGGCCGTGTAACTAAAAGTCAACTTAAACTCATGTTGCACGACTAACAAGCGAGGTGGTTTTGCAAGGACGTCCAAATCAACGCAGCGCGTTTATGGTTTAAGCCCGGAGTGCGGGGGTGGGGAGGGAATCTGTAACACAAAATAACAATGGGAGACATTTTCATCGTGAGAATTCGGCTTAAAAAAAAGAAAAAACCTCAATAATATTTCAAGGGCCTCATTTCACGCAGCAGAGGCCCCTTTAAAGCAGCCGCACGAGGCTACTTTCCAGCGAAGGGCGATCTGCCTGCGTGAATGTCGAACGGGTGGGGAGGTTCAGTTTGCCACGGTGAAAGCCTTTACAAGGTTCGCGGCGTTCGACAGGGTTGGTGGTTGCCCAGGCGTAGGGCTTGAACGATTAATCGATTTCAAATAGAAATCGCAATTTGAAACAATGCGATTAGCAAATCGCAATGGCTGCCATTTTTTGCGATGTGATAAGTCCTATTACTTATTGGAATTGTGTTTTTTTATTATTATAACTTTATTTATTTAACTTAACAATTGTTCTATGTTTGATTGTTCTATTTCGATTAAAACATTTTTATAAATACATGTTGGAAGCAATTAATATGTTTTAAGTTCTCATTGGAATATAATATATAGAAGTTCATTTTTGGATTGTATCACGTGGTAATGCTCCATCACATGTTTTAAATCTATTACACAGTGAATATTGAACTGAAGCTTGACTTTTAAAAAAATGTAATCGCAAATCAAATCGCAATGTCAGAAAAATCGCAATTAAATATTTTCCCCAAATCGTTCAGCCCTAGCCCAGGGGGTGTGCAAATTTACGCCATCATATTATAATCAACCCCGCTCGGTGTTTCTCACAATATATTATCTACTAGTGTCACGAGAAAAGCAAAACACTATATATTTTTTTTTATTGGAGGTGATAACTCCATGGCAATAATATTTGTTTTGCAAGCAGCCGCGCGTATTTGCATGCTACGATGGTGTCATTACGATTGAAGCTATACCTATGTTGACAGTTCCTATTTTTTGGGTACACATACCTTCCTCGGCCGGGCCAATTGATGTTTATAGGGCCGTGTTATGTAACCGGGGTTATGATGCTTACACGGCGTTCATCCTTTTTAATGGTAAACATGGAATGAAACGACGGTGTGAAGGCAAGGATGGTGTGGGTTTGAGACTTGGTGTGCAAAGTTTCAACCCTGCCAGCGATTCGAATCATCAGCAGCATGTTTGTCACATTAGTTGTTGTGTTTAGTTTGTTGTCCTTCCCCTGGCACCCCCGATTAGCAGGATTGGCTATATACGGTGCGAAGAAGTTCAACATTCAGGGCCAGGATTAGATGGATTATGGTGGAGGTGGCGGACGCTGGCAGACGTGTTGCCGCTCCTGCTCTGCTGCTTTGTTTATGTGGTTTTAACTTTTATCTTTAATCTATTTATCGTTTGAATTTTAACATTTTACTTTCAGCTTATTTATACCACTACGATTTGTATTTGGTTTAAGTGAGGTGTGATGTGTTTAGTATATTTAGTGGTGAAAGCCTCTTCTATGTCGTGGCCGTTCCCTTGTTGCTGCCTGGCCCCCTGGCCCCCTGCAGCTTACAGATTTGTTTTGTTCCAGGAGAGACCGGCGCACGGTCGGGCCACACCAGTCCACCTCCTGCTCCTGTCGTGTGGTCCTGCCTCTGACCATCCCGGGCGCCTCTTTGCTGCAGTCTCCTTGCGTTGGCCCCTTGGGGCCTGGGCCTGTTTGGGGCACGGGGCCTTGATCACCTCCTGCCAGCGGCGGTGCCGTGCTCCACTGCATCTGCAGTCTTCACTCGTGACCAGCCTGCTGCGGCTTGCCACCTGGCCTGCCTTGCCTCGTGATCTTGGCGCACCTTCGTACATGCGTTTTGGACCACTGCAGCTTAGTGTCCAGCTCGCCGTGGTTTGTGGCCTGCGTTTTTGGTGTGGCGGTGCAGTGTCCCCACTGCATCGGCCATTTTCACCTGTGACCAGCCTGCCTCGCCTCGTGACCTGCGTCGCTGTGGTGGATGCCATTTCGCTTTGTCAATCGCAATTGGCCCGCTGTAGCTCTTGTCCAGCTCGCCTTGGCTGTGGCCTAGCTTGTTGGTGGAATATGACATTACACAATCCTGCTGTACTATTGTCCCTCTGGCTCCACATCCTTGCCCATTATTCCGAACCTGGAGGTCAAACTCCGCCATTTAAAGATCTTTCGTCAGCCTCCCGACATCCATCGGGGTTTTAGGGCATGTAAGCAAGTCCGTCAACTCTACACTGGTGGCCTCGAATCCGATTCCTGTCTTATGGTCATTCTCGTGGAAACCTCGATCCACATACCCGGTACCTGTTATAAGTTCATCACAGATGGCCATTTTGATTTATGCATCACAGAAACATGGCACCAGCCAGATAACAATCTCGTTAACCAGGCATTAGCCATAAAATATGCCTGTCGGGACAAGCCCTGATCATCAGGCCACGGAAGTGTTCTTGCAGTTCTCCATCGCTCATCTACCACCCTCCACCCAACTTCTATGTTGGCCTTCCAGTCGTGAGAGCATCTAGTTCTGGAATGGAAGGCGAACCAGCCTGTGACAATAGTGCTCTTGTATCGTCCCCCTAAGCCCTCCACTTCTTTAATCAGAGAGCTAACCGAGCTACTTTCCATGCCGCGTTCAGCCTCTGACAGATTATTGCTGCTGGGCGATTTCAATATTCACATCGACTCACCCAGATGTGCTCTCGAGAGGGACTTTCTTGCCACCCCGGATTATGTTAATTTAACTCGGTATCTTCTGGGTTCTTTCGGTAAAGTCACGTAGAATGGAGATAAAATACGAGACTTTACCGAAAGAACCCAGAAGATGAATCCCTGCAGTCACGAAAGCTTTAAATCGAAATTTAACTGGGTATGTTAATTTAACTCGGTATGTTAATTCCCCGACCCATATTCGTGGACACATCCTTGACCTCGTTTGTCACCAACTTATCAATTATTGATCCTGGACTATACAATCATTTTGCGGTGCTGTTCGATTTTCTGATTCCTCCACGTAATCCTATCGTAAAGTGCAAGATGAAATTTCGGAATCAAAAATCAATCACTCTGGATATGTTTTCCTCGGCAATTCTCAAGTCACCACTCTGAAGTATACCCATTTCCTGTGGATGTCATGGTCCAAGTTTACAATACTGTACTATATTAAACAGTATTTTGACTTTACCGAAAAAACTAAGAATAAGTATTTTGGATAGTTTAACACGTAGGCTTTCGCGACCAATATTATTCATAATAAAAGGTTTTTGGGTTAGATCGCGTTATTTCTAAATGTGTCGTAACCCTCCACCGCCCGACACGGCCAATCAGCAAAAAAGTGTCACGTTGACAAAAGACAAATAGTTCACTAGTTCACTATGTGTTGAAGAGTGAATCCACATTTACAGTTTGATTACTCAACGTGACACTTTTTTGCTGATTGGCCATGTCGGCTGGTGGAGGGTTACGACACATTTATAAATAACACGATTTAACCCAAAAACCTTTATTATGAGTATATTGGATAGTTTGCCCCCAGAAATAACGCTGGATCTCGGCGGTGAAATCTTCACCCTGGTATAACGACGAGCTTCATGCACTCAAGGAAACTGTCTGCAAGGCAGAGCGATCATGGAGAAAATCTGGTCTTACCATGCACTCGCAAATCTTCAAACACCACCTTACAATTTACAGAAAGGCACTCAACCATGCTCACACCTGCTATCTTTTTCTGCTACTCTCGCTCATGTCTGGAATAACCCTAGGATATTTTCTACCGTTCATAAGCTCCTTCATTCATCATATGCTTCTCCTTTCTCTTTTGCACAAGCTAATGCTGACCAGTTCCTTCAATTATTATTTTTTAACCAAATCAACACAATTCGCCTTTCTATTAAATCTCCCTCTTCCTACCCTTCTGCCCACGGTTCCAGCACCACTGCTCATATCTAATTTCTCTATGGGAGCAAGAGGCACCAATGAAGGTTAGGTACAGGTGCAAGTAAGCTCTGTGCTTTGGCTTAAGGACCCCCTGTTGTACACGTCTGCAATCTTGATTTTGTGTTTTTGTTGCTGCTACTGTGCTCACGCAGCCCCCCCACGAATCTGCCGTGTAAAATTGCTCGGACACTGGCTAATCGGGACCAGTGTAACGAATTAAACGAAACTAACAAAATGAAAAGTTCCTTCTCCATGAGGTAAAAAAAAACATTTTGATAATACAGAAATATAGAAAGTGTGCAATGTGCGTGTTTATATGCATATCGGACAGCAGTAGTGCAGTGGTTAGCGCGCTGCGCTACGAGCCCGGTGACCCGAGTTCGATTCCCGCTCAAGGCCAACACCAGTGACGAATATCTGAACCAGTCCCGTGGCCTCCCCTCGGTTGACTCGGCCTCAAGTGAGTACCTGGTGCGGTTTGTAAACATCGCCACTGGGGAGACAAAGGCCCAGCTCTTGCACATCTAAGAAATAGACCCATGACGGAACAAGAATTATATTTAAATCAACATGAAAAAACATTGCCAGAGCTCTTTATTCTCTTTGATCCACGTTCACGCTCCATGGCCCTCTGGAGAGGGAGCAGGAATCATTTCTCTGGGTCATTGTCCAGCAATATGAAGCAAACTGGAAACATGCTTTGCACCAAAACAATGCCTTTATTGCATTAATTTACATTACATCAGGGTTAAACATCGTAGTCGAACCCACCCAACATACTACACCATTATATGAGGAACTGCCGCGTATCGGACTTGAGGGCAGAACAAAGTAAGCTATGTACAACGTATTTACAATGGGGAGACACGGAAAGATAAGTTAATTTAATAACGTTTCATTAATTATCCATGCTAAACCTTAGTCGAGATAAACATTCGTAACAAACTGAGAAAATACAATGCATTAAAACTATGCCTTATTTTCTAAATCTGGTTATATATTGTTTTAGATTTCTCATCATTTTTTTTTGCAGCGATTAAAATAAACAAAAATCATCAACATCACACCCCCACACACACACACACCCCCTTAAGCGTTGGAGATTTCTTTTGAACAAAGAGATCGGACGCCAGGCTTCTTTGCCGGCCTTCCCGGCTGCAAAGTAACACAACAACAACAACATGCGCGCCGCTGTACACAATCGAAAGGTGAATTTGCGTGTTGGGGTTTTCTTGTTTTATATAGATCAGCAAAACTACGCTTTCTTGCAGAAAAATAAATTAGTCCACGTGTAAACTGAATTAAACGTTAGTACCAAACCAAGTATTAAAAAATTCAAATGACGGATCATAATATATATACATATTAATTATTATTAAGTACCTAGACAAAAAGCAGCGGTTCAACGACATCAACATGTGTATGATCTGTCATGTCTGTCGCCGCAATTATGAAACTACACATACAGCACGACTCCTGTCTCAACCGATACCTGAAATTTGATATACCTTTGACTCTATAGCAAAGCATTTTATGGCCTTTTGTTAAACGTGAGGTTTGTGTTATTTGTATGCATAACTGCGTTTAAAAAAAGAGAACAGAATTCAACATGCCCGCAATTCAAAACTTTAGTTTTTTTTTCATCTTACCAAGACAAACGGGTTTCACTGACAAACATTTCACATCGATTCACGCTGCCGTGCTAACATCCAGCAAGGAAAGCAAAACGCCGGCTGCGACGCCAGAAATGGAACGGGCGACCACGTTCGTGTTTACGCATCACGGACCATCTGCCCGAAAGAAACGGCGACACAATTCCGAGTTATTTAGTTGTTGTCGCAAAGATGATCTGGTGGTCAGTTTTGACGGCTTTTTCATTATTTATCAAAGAGACATTGAAATTTGGGTATCAAAATATGAAACTTGCAAAAAATAATAGTCCTAAGGCTGAATAATACTTTAGCGTGCCCTTAACGCAGCTTTTTAGTACACTTTAACGGTTCACGTTCAGACCTTAACATGGGTCACGTTGGTCATCGTGGGAGTCACCTAGGTAAATGCAAATCCCATGAAAGAGCGACTGTCTTGTAGAGAATTTCGATTTACCAGACGATTTGCTCGCGTACCATTTATAAGAAACTGTTGCCGTACCACCAAATTTACACTACAACATTACGGAGGGCCCCGCAAAACTATTTCTAAAAAAAAAAGTATTGGCCCGTACTCACGAATACAGTCATACAAAAGGTTATCTTGTTTATTAATTTGTACCATACAAGAACACTTCTGTACCAAACTCGGCATGGGTGAGCATTATTAAACGCCCGTTTGAAGAAGAGTATTTTTTTGACGGCACATCAGAAGTCATCCGACTCTTAACACATTTTGTTTCCACCCCCCCGCCCCATAACCCTCGCCCATCTCTCTCACGGCACTGAATTTCTCTCCTCCGCCCAAGAATTCATCTCACCCAGCCGTCGGCCGCGTGGCCGTCAATCCAAGAAAATCGGAATCATCCACAAGTTCTATCGCACAGGTCCACAACCGATTTGCCCGCCACTGCCGCGGGCATCGCGAACGTCGCCAACATCACCGCAACAGGTTGCCCGCCACCTGGTACCGACTTCCAAAACTAGCGATCAGAACGTTGCAACACAGACCGCTTCAGAACTCACCAAGCCAAATACTCAGGGGGGTTATTTAAAGTTTACACCCTCCCATTATTTCAAAGCCACTATATATTCAACAACGGTTTTTTTCTTTCACTTTGTTTTAACTTTTTTGGGAAACGTAACAAGTTAAAAATATTTTTTTTTTACATTGCATCAAGTAGCCTACGAGAACATTACCGTAGTGTCCGGCACTGAATGAAACTTTTTTTTTTTAAGTTGCATATAATAATTTTTAGCCAGTGTCTTCAGTCCTTGAGTATCTGCGCCCCCCAACAAACCGTTGACTGAACGTACAATAACAAGATGAAAAATATTATATTCTAACAACTATTGACACAGCTATTGACACACCATCGATGCATTCCGTGGACTACGCTATTCGGGTCAAGGGTTAGGGTTAGTTATGGGCACAACCTTTCCATTGCAGGAATCGAACTATTTTTTTTTACGTTTTCTATAGTGGTACTTTCATACAAAATTGATTCATGCAAGCAATAAAGAAGCACATTCAGCTCAAAATTTTGCTTCCTTACGGTGCCACATTTTCAACTGGGGCCAAACAAGACTCCACGCAAACAAAACGTACAACTTGTTTCTTATACTCATCTGTTTGTTCGTCACTTGTGGCATTTAATTCCCCCCCCCCCCCACCGCCAAATAAGCCAATAAAACAAACTCGCTGCATGTGATTTACTGGCTGGCAGAACCGTACCGTTACATTTTCCGCTGTGTTATTGTAAGGGGCGCCACGATGGTGAGATGTTAACTACCTTGCCTGGCGTGTAGGAGGTTGTGGGTTGGATCCCGACCCCGACACCTGCTGCTGTATATTTGGAGTTTGCATGTTCTCCTCGTAGTCGGGTGGATTTTTCTCCGGTTTTCCCTCCACGTTTAGACTCAACGTGCGCCGAGAGCATTTGGGCTGCTATAACGTTCCACGCGATGACGAGCCACTTCACCGAGCCATCATATGTGGCCAGGTCGCTTCTGAAAAAGAGCTGTACAGCGGCTCAGTGGGCCTTACCTGGTGAAATACACAGTTTAGTTTTAGTTTAGAATCCCAGCAGCATCTGTGGAACTTAGGCACATGCATGGGAGAGGCAGGGAGGCTGTACAGAGTGGGGGGGGGGGGGGAGTTATTTTGCGTTGCATTGGGAGTGCCTGGCATCATTTCGCGGTGTCGGCCTGGGTCAGCCTTTCCGCCCGACGACTAACAAAACTGCTTATTAATTCACGTGTTCTTCAAAAAAATACTGAATCGACGGCGGTCGCCGGGGGCGGCCCTCGTCTGTAAAGTCACGCGTTGTTGGCGATTAGTCTTTCCCCCCTCCCCCCCTCCCTCCCTCGATTACTTCGGGCCAAAAGTTACTTTGTTCAAGTCGGATTTTGCACGCGATCCCAAGCACGCACACGCGCGTACCCATCACCACCCACCCCCCCCCCCCCCCGTTCACAACGAAAGCGGAGCTACGCTTGTCTTTGAACGGTACGCGGATACGATTCCTAAGGAAAGCTTACCGCTAACCCCCCCCCCCCTCACCCATCCCCCCCCCCCCCTCCAAATAAAAAAGAAAGGGTGACTTGTTTCGTTGACCTTTTAAGGCTTTCCGCTCCCACGAGGGGAGCACAGTACCAGAGTCAAGGGTGGCCGATAACCCGAACGCCGAGGTAGTCCGTTCACCAGAGGCACGATTCCACAGCGGCCAGGAAGTGTTTCTGCATAACTTAACAATCGACGAGCGAACGACGTGAAGAAGTGACGGGGGCGGAGGTGTGGGGTGGGGGGGCGAGGAGAGGGGCGACGGCGGCGGGAAGTGGTGGTGGGGGGGGGGCACTGGATCACAGCTGCTGCGACGATCGCTGGTTGACAGTCGTGTGACTTGCTCATCAACTGCACAGTAAAAGGCACGGATCACAAAATGCATCATCGGTGAGGTGAGCGCTCTCGGAGACTGCCGAGCCGATTCCTCGCGCGCGGCCAACGGCACGCCACGGGACGCGGTTTGGACCACTGCGGGCGGCGATCCGTGCACATTTTTTTTTCATTTATCGCTTAATCGGCGCTCCCCCGCGCTCCCCCCCCCCACCCCCCAACATCTCATCAGCAGTACCACGGCAACGAACCTTTTGGGGCAAAACGTGATATGCAAAACTGCTGTCGTCTAGTTAGTCACCCCCCCCCCCCGCCACGCAAATAAACCGTGAAAGCCTTCACAGGATGTTCATGAGAAGAAGGAGAAGAAGAGGAAGAAGCAGCAATCGGAACAATATAACAACAATAATTATGATAATAGCACACTGGGCTGGCCGGGGAGCTTCGGGGTAGTACGATGCGTTGCACCACACCCACGTGTGCGGCAAAAGCCTTTCCCCCTTTTTATCCCCTCTCGGTCGTAAAGTCATTTGGGGCGGGGGTTGGGCGGTGGTGGAGAGAGAGAGGGTGGGTGGGGGGGGGTGTTGGCTGGCGAACGAAGGACAATGACAAAAGCACAGAAAGGTCCTGAGATTTTCATTGGAGGAGCGAGCGGGCGGGCGGGCGGGCGGGCGGGCACGGCGTGCGGAGTTCCTCCCGGGCGGGCGAGACGGCGCGCCCACACAGAGACGCGGGTGGACGATGGCACTGAGGTCGGTGTGTTTGAAATGCACTACGGTAGGCCACTGCTGGTTTTACAGTCAGACGCAAGTCTCCTCCTCCTCCTCCTTCTTCCTCTGGGGCGTCTTAACCTGAGGTCGGGAGGAACGACAGAAAACGGAGAGCGGAAATCGTCAGGGGGGGGTTGGGGCCCGGGGTTTGGAGCGCTTTCCGCGAACGGGTACAGAGCGGCGCGTGACGCTCGCTCGGCACCGAGGGTCGTTTGGCATCGACGTCGGGCGGACGCGGTGACCTGCCGCACCCCCCCCATCCCTCTTCCGCCGGCGTGTGCCGGGGGGGGGGGGAGCTTCTTCTGAACCGACGCGTCCGGAGGGCTGAAGAGGGTGGCAAAGCGGGGGGAGGATTCGATCCATCGGCCGGGATCGAGCGAGCGGCCCGGTTTCCAGGCGTCCGGCGGTTCAAACGCTCGAGCTGCTTCGGCGGCCAATTCACGTGGAAAAGATGGTTCAGCGCCCATCACGGGGGGGGGGGGGGGGGGCGCGCGCGACAGCTGCACGGTGACGGACACAAATGGGATGTGCGCGCGTGTGTGCGTTGTTGTGTGTGTGTGCGCGCGTGCGCGTCCATCCAGTAGACCGGCGACAGGGTGATGGGTTAGTGAGCCAGCAGACGGGCCTTGTAAGGCAGGGACTTTGGAGCGCGTGTATGTGTGTGTGTGTGGCGCGCGTTAATCCATACCCTCACCCCCCACCCACCAACCGCCAGCCCGCCGCTGCAATCTGCAAGCCCCCTCTGCTAGGCGAGCCGCTTACATCATTTAGCCGCAGTGACCGGTAAATTGTGCACGGTGTAAATAAGTGAATGACGCCAACTCTCCGTAAAGCGAGATATGTACACCAAGAAATGCACGCGAGATAAGTACCAAACAAACAAAAAAAGGTAAAAAAATTGTTTGTAGCACAGCAAAGGTCAAAATTTGCTGCAGCACTCGGCGCACACGCGCACGGTATACGTTTAAGGATTTAACAATCGAATGCACGCATCCAACACAATTGCAAACCGTATTTTGAGCATCGTTGAGAATGCGTCACTTTCATCGGACTTACAAAAAAAAAAGTGCAGTTGCAAAAATAAAAATTGGACGGGCATTAAAGACAAATCTCTTTTCCGACGACCGAACAACAATACACCGTCCGTCATTGTAACATCACACTTTGGGAGAGTACCCCCGTATGGCAAGACGCAAACTCTTTCGGGTGTTCGTTGGGTGACCTGAATTTGCATAGAAACGCAAAAGTGTCCGTGAGCAGTCACAAGACAAACGCCACGCTCCCGCAGTGACGATTGTGCCCCACATCAACAACAACAACAACAACCACAACAAAGACCGCCGTTCGCCACTAAGCGACGGTGACGTCACCACGGCGCTTGTGCCACGCTGTGCGCACTTGAAGGCCACGATTGTGCTCCGCGCCCCGCCCCTGTACGCACTGACAAGTGGGAGGAAGCCTGCGCATGAGGTGGCCAGAAGAAAGGGCTTCGGAGACACCGCGAAGGGCAGTCCGTGGTACTGGATGGCATCCCAAAGCTGACATATTTCGAGTTTGCATGTTCTCCCAGTGGTCGCGTGGATTTATTTTTTTTCATCTGGGGTCTTCCAGTTTCCCCCCCCCCCCCCCCCCCGCCACATTTAGAGTCAACACGCGTCCCGAGCATTTGGCTGCTATAAATGTCCACGCGATGATGAGCCACTTCGTTGAGCTATCATTTGTGGCCAGGTGGCTTCTGATAAAGACCTATATTAGCTCAGTGGGCCTTAACCTGGTGAAATGAAAACAAAAAGTTCGGCTTTAGGTTTTAGGAGGAGGATGGACGAGGACGATACCGGCAAAATTATCGCTCGATGCAGACCGGCACCTGCGCCAACACGCAACCAAGGAGTGCTACGTCGCTCTCTTGATGTACGTTGAACTTCTTTCGCACCGTACGTAGCCGACCGTGCTAGTCGGAGGAGCGCGGGGGTAGGACAACAAACTACGGGTCCCTGTGCGAGTACGTATGTACGCTGAACTTAATTCGCACCGTACGTAGCCGACCGTGCTAATCCGAGGTGCGGGGACAAAGGACAACAAACTAAACACTAAAAAGCAGTTCTGGAGGCCGCACAGTTCTCTCCGAGGGAATGTGGGGAGGTGGGGGGGCATGCAAGCCGGCGGCACATGCCAAGGAAGTGGAATGAAATAAAAGCCGAAGCCGCCGGGGACGACGACGTCGAAGCTCCCACGCATGTCGGCGACTCCCGAGGCAGCGGCGTATATTCCACTTTTCCATGGAAAGAGGCTTGGCATAATCCGTTGGCACGGCCGCCCGTGAATTGGTCACAGAGCGGGCAACGGTGTTTGTTGGTGGCGGAGGGACGATGTGCCAAGCTCAACCCGATCCGGGAGTTCAACGCGCGACCGTGCGACTGTACGAATGTTACGTGCTCAGCTATTGCATCAAACCAATAACGACACATAGGAACGTACACAAACGCGCCCCATGTAACCTGAAAAACTGTGGGGAGAAAGCGGTTAGCGGGCACCTACGAAGGCCAGCACGGCACACGAGGGGGTGTGTGACCAACACCACGCCCGGCCACCTTTGTCTCCCTAGTGGCGATGTTTACACACTTCACTAGGTACTCATTTGAAGCCGCGTCGATCTAGGGGAGGCCCATGACCGGTTCAGATAATATAATCGTCACTGGTGTCGGTGGCTGTGAGCGGTAATTGAACTCGGGTTACCGGTTTCGTAGCGCACACAAACACGCTAGTACACACGCACACTTGCGCACAAGCCTATTCGTCACATCGCATTGTCAGCCCTTTATTTAGACGGGGACCCGCGGCTTCTATGTGGGCCCACTTCAGGACACCGAGCGAGCGATGATGTCATTAGGAACACGTGCGTACGGGCGCACGCCAGCTGAAGCGTCGGAAGTCGGTCACGCGGCACGGCGATTATTTTTAAATCGCTCCATTCAGCAACGGCTCTTTCGTTATGCGGAGGACGAGCGACTCCCATCGCGGTGCCCGAGAGCGGCGTGCGTTCGGCGGGGACGACCGGGAACGGGGGGTGGAGGGAACGAAACTAAAGGAGCCGGGCGGCGGTGGCGGTGGCTACGCTGCTGCACGTGGCCACCTCGAATCCAGCGCCGGAGGAGGCGGCGAGGGTCGGTGGATCGCTGCACACGGATGTTGTGAAACTCCCTTCCCGTGAGCATTAAGGTGGTGGTCATGCACCCTGGTTCACCGGGATAGGGCAGGATAGCAATACAACTCATCGCCATCTGTTTCCATCTGTACGGGGATTGAGTGTTTCCCCCTCGCGCAAGGCTTTCTGGGTGCTCCGGTTTCGTCCCGCGAACATTACACACACACTCACTCATCATGAATTGTCTGAAAACATCTCAAGTAAAAAGAAAACCCAATTCAGGAACATCCTCAAAACCAGTCCTATGACTCAGTGTTGCTTTCCTGGAAAAAAATACATTATTATGAAGTTAGTAAAAAAAATTAAATATCCACAAATAATATAAGCGAGCGGGCGTGCGCATCTACACACGCGCGCACGCACGCGCTGAACAGAACGCGGACGTTGATGTATATTACTTTGGAAAGTTTCCGCGTTTGATTGCGGAGGCCTCTTAGCACCCAGTCCCTTTCCCAGCGCTTACGTGCACTTAGCCGCGTATAAATAGACCCTTTGAGGTGGAGCCCATTGTACATCCCAGCCTGAACGAGGTGTTCTTGGAAAATCAAAGACATCTAAATGCTGCCGGGATAACGTCACGCCACTCCACGATAGTATAACGTGGCCAACGGAGAGTTTCAGCAAATACCAGTTAACAGGCGAATGTTGGGTCAACTGACGCTTCTTTGCGAAAGAGGGTTCAACGTAATACATAACGTCGACCAACGCCGCCTTGTTTACCGAGAAGCACCCATCGTTAATCAAACTGCCTGCGAGTATATCGGCGTTTGGTATGAAACTACCGCGAAGTACGGTGCGGTGGAGCCCTTCAGCCAGCAGTGCATCGGCAAGGCAAGTTATTTACACTGCACTGCTACGACACGTCTCCGTGAAAATTGCTCAATTGAAAAAAGTTAAATGACAACGACAGTAAATGTAATCATTTTCTTGGCTTTCATTTCAATTCACTGCTGCACGAAGGCCTTCCCACACAGGATTGTCAGCCATGGGCCATGGGGATGGTTTGACCATACTTCTTCACCGCACTAATCCGTGCATGTTGATAAAGGGGATGGCACCTAGGACCAAGGTCAGGTTTCGCTTTTGGAGCAACGCAAACCACAGCTGGGGATTGAACCAAAGGCCGCCGGCTTCCGCTAACCCACCGGGCGCCCCCCCCCCCCACCCCCCAATTGCCACAACCCACAAAACGCAATTGCTCCGAACCAAATTCAGAAACGGCGGTTTTACCTAACCCAACACGATTTACGAACACCATCTCGTCGGTGTATCCAGGTGCCGACCTTGAACTCGCCAAGCGCACAGCCGAAAAGCTGATTTTGAGCGACGTCGCAAACCCAGCGGGAAGCGTCGACAAGCACGACCTTCGGAGACGGAGCGCGTGGTTGACCTGGCGCTAAAAACGCGCAAAATCGGCCGTGAACAGGTGGCGGCAAGGACCCCAATCGACGACGCGCAAACGGCCGTGCCGTTTATACCCACGATGGACGACGACGGTGTGATTTTAACTGAACAATTTTGTTTATTTTAACAGGAAAAGGCCCCACTGAGCTACCAGTGGCTTAACACGTGGACATTTCTAGCAGCCAAATACTCTGAAAGCATGATTCTAAACGTGGAGGGGAAAACCGGAGGAACTGGGGAAAATTCCACGTGAGCACGGGGAGAACATGCAAACTCAAGGCGTACCACGGTCGAGATCGAATCCACGACCTCCTGTATACCAAGCGAGGTAGTTAACCATCTCGCCACCGCGGCACCCACAATTTAAACGGCCCTTTCCATTAATCGGCCCGGGCGACTCGTCCTGTTTAAATAACATGCTGCCTTCACGACTGGGGTTGGGAACGCGCAGACAGCGGATCGATTCATTCTA